ACAAAATTATAGTAATTTATGAATTATGAAGGGTTCATGAGGGAGGGATGAGTGGGAAGGGAGGGGAAAAAATGAGCAGCTGATACTAAGGGCTCAAGTAGAAGGCAAATGTTTTGAGAATGATGATGGTAACAAATGTACATGTGTGCTTGACACAATGGATGGATGTATGGATTGTGATAGGAATTGTATGAGCCCCAAATAAAATGATTTAAAAAAAAGAGTAAGTGCCCAAAGGGTTAAGCACTTGGGCTCATCTAAAAGGTCTGCAATATAAACCCACTGGCTTCTTCCCTCAATGGGAGAAAAGAGCTGGAAATCTGCTTCTGTAAAGATTACCACCTTGCAAACCCTCTGGATTAGCGGTTCTCAAGCTGTGGGTTGCAACCCCTTTTGGGGTTGAACGACCCTTTCACAGGGGTTGCCCAATTCATAAAACTAGCAAAATGACAGTTATGAAGTAGCAACGAAAATAATTTTATGGTTGGGGGGGTCACCACCACAGGGGTTGCTGTATTAAAGGGTCGCAGCACTAGGAAGGTTGAGAACCACTGTTCTAGGGGGTTCTGAGACTGTAACTGTTTAAGGGAGTTGAAAGCCCAGTCTTTCTCCCGCTGAGCTGCAGGTGGTTTACAACTGCCTCAGACCATCTGGATTGCAGCTCCGATACATAACCACCACAACGCCAGGGCTCCTAGACAGCCTGGCATCGGACTTTTAAAGTAGCTACAGAAAGCAGACTTTGAGATCTTGCATTTTGTCTCAAAATCCAATCATTAGCTTATCCTACAACTATACCAGCACATGGACACACACCACCAAAATGCGATATTGCCGCCTATTTGAGCACAAACTTAACTGGCGATGAATAATGGACGGGTTGAACCTACATTACAGTAGAACCATTATGGACTGGTTCTGCATTACAGTAGAACCATTCCAAGATCTGATGCACTTTCATCCCAAGATGCTAAGGGTAAAAAGAGCAAGGGACAGAGGAGTAGGTTCCCCTTTGATATATTACCATGTGCTTGTATTTTCCATTCAAGTAAATGGTTGAAGACTGAAATAAAACACATATTTTATTTGATCTAAAATGTTAAAGATTGCTTGTGTTTGGTGCCTACCTTACAGCCTACATGATTAGCTCTAAAAAGTCTTTCATTTCCTTGAGATTTTTTTCAACTTTATAGACATGCAGGCGCTTTTTGATGGCACCGGCTTCTAAACTTTTAAGTTGGATAGGTCAGAAGAGGTGTCGGATCTTGGTTGCTGTCTCATTCTCCCACCCTCAGGAAGAGACAGCAAGAGGGCCTGCCTTCTCCCTGGCACAGAGATGTGGAGACACAGGAGGGTCCTGTAGGAAGGCTGGACTCTGACAAGCAAGGCCCTTTACACCTTTGTTACTTTTCCCTCTGGAACAGAAGGCCCTTCTTTTTGAAGAAAGAGCTTCCTGTCTCCCCTGCTCTATTGTGCTTTATTCCAGACAGCAGGCCTTACACTTGGCCTTCCTGGCATTTCAGCAAGCAGACCGACATAGAAAAAGAAAGTTCGACCTGGGTGAGGGAGCTGAAACTTCCAGAGCAAGGGCATGTAACAACAGACATCCTGTTAGTCCCCTTCTTGGTCAGGAAACAACCAAGACTGTGTCGTATTGGCTGAAGCTCCTAAAAGAGAGTCATGCCATGCCAGGAACCCCAGGACAACAACCCTTCTCAGGCATCCATCAGTGTCATTTAAGGACATCTTGGGACAGTTGACCAGCTAATGTCCTTTGAATGTCTTAAACCTAGCATTTTATAACTGTGATGCAGGTATTGGGAATATTACAGAATAAGAGGGAAATTGGGAAGGTTGCTCCCACCTTTCCCCAGAATAAGCAGCACCAAATGGATTTGAAAAAATACAAAGCTTATTTAGGAGCAGTTCTGTGGGTGGACACCAAAACGGAACTATTCAATTCTTCTGGCAGAAGATGAAGGCGTGTTGGGAGAGGATTTGCTGTCTTTATCTAATAACTATTTTTAAATAAAAATAATTAGAACAAGTTGCCCTGGCATGAAGCATGATTTAAGGGACTCCAAATTAGATTATGTGGCACAAAAATGTGTTTATATTTATTAGCTGTATGTGTGCACATTGCTCCTTCTTCATGCCAACAATCAAGAACTTTGCTATTTCTCCTGTGGATGGTTCCTTTCTTAATGTTGATCAACATTAAGGTTGGTATGACTAATTTATTGGAAATTATTTTTGAAGTAATGTGCACTTCAATCTCATACTTAAGATACTCAACAATGGATCAGTATTATCAATCTCTTATCAACTTTAAAAGTGCTACATTTCTGTCCCTATGGAACACACACACTTGTATCACACAATGCCAAAATTCCTTTACAACTATAGCATTTCATACTACTGAAATAAAGTATCAGTTTTTACTTCAAGGACTACTACAGCCAAAAGATAAAAATAATCTGAACACTGAGATAGTGTGCTTCAGAAACAGGGCTAGAATTTTCTTGCTAGATTTTAAGTTTCTATCAGTTGTGTTCATTCTGCACCCTAGTATTATCATGGGAGTGGATTAAGCACTTAGAATGTATAAAGTGAAATTATTTATTTCAATTCAATATAGAATATTTATCAGAGACAAGATCATAATCAATGTGTATAATATTTACAGAACAGGAGAAACAATAGACAATGCAGCACCTTTAGAAAAATAATTAAAAATTTTGTTGCATTTACAGGTTAAGTGCCACACTGAGAATTTACAACACAGTAATTTACTGCAGTCAGTCACAGGGAGTTCCATAAAGAAACAAAGCTTCTTACACTCCAGATTTCAGGAAGGATTTTGGAATGCTTAACTATAATCAGAGAATTTGTACATCCTTAGGATTCAGCTGAAAAAGTCACAATAGATTTTCATAGCATATATTATATCAAAGGAGTCCACTGCAGCCTGGCAGCAGGCTTAGTGTCTCTGGCAGGTGTGAAGCCTAGAAGAATTATTGGCTTGATGGTGCTCTTTCTGCATCCGGCAAGATAAACCTTCCCCACAGAAACAGCGCTGGAATATCTCCAGCCCATGGGAGCCTTTTCTCCTGTGTTTGGTGCACACTTGACCTTCTTTGAGGACAGGTTTGCAGATCTTGGACCAGAAGTGTCTAGCACAGCACAACCCCGTGTCGCAGTCTGATGATCGGAGACAGACAGAGCCTTCTTGTCCTAGGAAGGGGAAGACAGAGGGGGCGGCAAGGACAGTTACTGCTAAGGCTGCATAATTTCATTGATACAATTCAAAAGATACTGTTGACATCTCTGAGTAGAACGGTTCTTAACGTTCATTAATGTACCTTTGGTATGATACATTTGTGCCGATTGTGTGGTTCTCCTGGAGTTTCCATCCAAGGGGCTATGGTCATTACCAAAGCTTTCGATAACAGTCTCCTCAATTTCCCCTAGACTGAAATGATTGTGATCAGAAGGCATACACATCCCTAAGGAAGTAAGAGAGAGTGATTAAATTCTGATCCTTTTCTGACAACAACTTTATTTTTTAACCGGGGCAATCTGTCCAGCCTGCACCAACTACATATCTTGGAGAGAAATTCTTTCTCACAACAGCAAAACTACCTCCCTTATGTGAGCACAGAACTCCTCCACTGCTAGGAAGCACCAGGAGCACAGCCATAGGTAGGCTAATTCCCCAAAGAGGCCACTGAAAACACATCCCCACCAATGGCAGTGGCAGTCAGACTTCTGTCCTGTTTACGATCACCCTTGGGTGAAAAAGGCAAAATAGAAAATGAAGCCCCTAAAAAAAGATAATGGTTTTCAAAAATAACCCCTGCTTTGGTGCTGCAAGGATGCTGCCAAACTAAATTCAGCAAATGAAATTCCAGCGGCCTGGGAGATGACAATCTCACCGTTGCTTTACTGGATGATTTCTATCTTACCGAGATGTTGGTAGTTTAGCCTTGAGTACTGCTGGATCCTAAGGAGGGTTGCCCCCTCTAAATTTAATTCTGGAAAATTATTTGGCCAGCTGGGGTTGCCTCTTGAGTCATTAAATTTTAGTGGATCTTAGCGCTGGTGACATAATGGTAACCCTTTGATCTGTTAACTGCAAGGTCAGAGGTTCAAAACCAACAGCCCCTACTCGGAAGAAAAGACAGGGCTGTTAAGAGTTAGTCTTGGCAACTCCTACGGGGCAGTTCTAGTCTGTACAGGGTCTCTGAGTCAGCATCAACTCTATGACCATGCCTTTGGATTGGCTCTAGGAGATATTGATGTGGTCCTTATTTTAAGGTGCCGCTGGTATATGAGAGCAACAATGCCCTGGGCAGTGCACTTAAAGCCTTTGGCCCGCCGATGACAACCATTTCCACGGAGCAGAGCCAGGAGAGTCCACCGTCAGCAAAACGTGAAGGGACGTAGAGTGTTCCCATCCGCGCCATTCCCATCCACCTCACCATCTCCTTGAACTGATCCCAAATGTCTCCCCAAACACATTCTTCCGTAAGGACCCTAGGAAACCCTTTGGGGAGGATTGAGCTCTTTTCTCTCTCCTTCCCCATCAACACTCACAAGGAAAGCATTTCCCTAGAAGCCCCGGTTCCCAACCTAGGGCGGCCCGAGAGCGATTGGCAGGTGGCGCCGCGCATCCGCAGCGCAGCGAGAGTGTCTCGGGTCCTTGGCGCGCCAGCTCCCGCCGCTTGGCGGTGGACTGGGGCGGGAGGGGGTGCGGGGTGGTGGTGGTGCTCACCGTTTCTGCAGAAATTCCCGGCGCAGCACATCGCGTGGCGCAGGCAGCGTTTCCGCCGCTTCCTGCAGGCCAGGCAAATTTGCGCTCCTGCACCCGCTCCTCGCGCGGGACTCGCGCAGAACTCGTCTGAACCGCACTCCTCATCCTCGGCGCACCGGTACGGCTGCGGGAAGGGGGCGCGGAGAGGATGAGACGCCGGGCACTCGGGTCCCCGCAACTTCTGACCCAGATGCTCCGCACGGTCCCTCTCCGTCCCTGGTTCCCCAAACTGGCCGCTCACGGCTCCCACACGCAGGGTCACCCGGTGCGACGCCAGTCGCGCGCACCCGACGCGTCCCACGCCCTCCTCCCCAAACGGGACCCTTTCGTGGCCACAGGCTCCCGGGTCCCAGCCACCCCTCTCACCTGGTAGTTGTCAACGGACTGATACTTGTTCGCGCCCTCGTACAGGATTCCGGGCGCCACGCTGACGGAGGAGCCTGGGTGCCCGGCAGCGCCGCCCAGCGACGGGGGTAGGTTTTTGATGGCGTTGGAATTGAGCACCAAGTTCAAGGAGGCACTCACCCCGCGCAGAGGGTGGCCGCAAAGAGCCGCCGCCACCAGGGCGACCCAAAGCCGGGCAGCTGCCACTGCGCCCGGAGCTGCCATCTCAGAGGGAATCAGGAGACAGGAAGAAAAGAGAGAGAGGAGGGATGTCACTGGGTAGGCCGAGTCTCCACGAAGCTAGCGCCGGGCTGGCGTGGCTGCCACCAGGGTCCCCAGGGAACCGCGCGCAGCTCTAGAGCGCAGTTGGCCAGGCGCACCGAACTCTGCGCCGCCACCGCCACTGCGGCTGCCTTTATACGGCGGCTGCGGGCTTTCCCGCCCCTCGGGGGAGACAACAAAGCCTGGATAGGATTTCAAAGCCTTGGGAGGGGCTGGGAGGGGACGTGTTTGTGTACAAGAAGGGGGGCCTTTGACACTCTTCAGCCGGCTCCTCTTCGGCTGGGTCTATCCTGTGGCCCCAGTTACCTTTGGAGTGACGGTGATCTGGGAGCCTTAGAGCCCCGGGGATGACCTGAGGCCCGAGGAGGGAGGCATTCGTGCGTCCCAACCTGGCGGTGGGCTCCAGATTACAGACATTTGAAAGATCATGATGCTTTCTGCCAACCCATCTTTGACTTCACTCCCTCGCACACTCCTTTGCCCTGTGGTCCATTCAGACGCGCAGCGAGGGAGCCAGCAGCCACCTCTCGGGGCATTGCGCACACACTTACTGTTCAGTATTAGACGTAAATGAATCGGTAGTTCAAAGTCTGGGAAGCTTGCCTGGAGCAGAGTTCCAGGTGGCCGCAGCAAGTTGCTGATTAACCCTTTAGAGTCTCCGTTTCCAGAACTTGGGGGCGGGGCCCTTAGGTTCCCTCAACCCGCTCGCCCCCACTCCCCACTCCACGCCACTGAGAGGGGGGGGGGAGATGCGTCGGGAGATCGAAATTTGCACATCAAACGAGGATAAGAAAGGAAGAGCTAATTCTCTTTTGATGGGAAATTGAGAGAACAGGAGGCGAGAGACTTGAATTTGGAAATTGGATCAGGGGAGGAGGGATGGGGGGGAAATGACCATCCGATAATCAAACGATTTAATGTTATTCTTTGAACGTAAGCAGCCCCGGCAGTAGATGAACTTGATTAGGCAGACACAAGAGATCAAAGTGGCCAGAGCGACAGCGGACAGAGTCCAACGTACTGGGTCAGTTGTACTTGCCTGGTTTCCCAGTCTCAGTGGTGGATGGTGGATTAGCATAGTGAGATAAGAAACCCTTAAGGCTTAGCGCCTGACTTCCTCATTAGTGTTTCAACTCGCAGCGCTGGAGAATGCTCCTGTTTGATCCCAAATCAGACCGTTTGCGGAGTCTGGGAATGGTCCCTCTAGGGAGATAAGAGTGTGATAAGTTTGTGAATTCCACGTCATTTAAATCAGTGCATGAAAATAATAAAGAAGGACTTCGTTTATAAGGATGTTGTCATGCTTATCAATTTGGAATTTTTGTTTATCCATTACACACACACACACACACACACACTCACACACACTGGAAGTCCAGTGCCCTGGCATGGGATGGCCTTCACGGTTATTGCTTTTTAAGGGGAGGGAGAAGGTGATTACAAATGATCCGGACAGTTTTCATTCTCCTTGATTCTTTATTCTAATGAAGCTCATAGTAAGATGTAAGAAATGCACACAGTCCTTAAAACAAAGCTGATGTTGGGTCACAAAACCCCACTGCGGTGTCCTCGTGCTTGGTCCAGCAGAGGGGCTGTGAAGAGGAGGAAGGCCCTCATGAGACAGAGGGACACGGCGGCTGCAAGAATGGGTTCACATACAACAACCGCGGCGATGACACGGGACCAGGCAATTTGCTTCTGTTGTACTTCCGGTCTCTAGGAGTTGGGATGGACTGGCAGGCCCCTAGGCTGCTGCCTACATGGGATTGTCCCTTGGAGCTCCCTAGCCACTGCTTGAGAGAAAAGACCTGGGCTCTTCTTCCATAAAGATGACAGTCTAGGATACGTTCTGTCATATAGGGTCAATATGAGCTGGAATCAACTTGACCAGAGAAGGAATCCCTGCGGTATTTCTCATTATTCCACACACCATATGACCGTGGTTGAGATCACCATATCCAATGGCAGCACTGAAGTAATAAAATGCTAAAGTCTAGATGCAGAGGGGTACTTAAAAGTTTGCAATGGTCTGTGTTGTAATTCCTTGGGTCTTATAGGTCATATTAGAACTGTTTTCAAACACTCGAGGGAGCCATGTGGTGCAATGACTGTGGGAGGCTGTTAACCACCAGGGTCCAATCCCTTCCCTGAGGGAAGGACTTCTACTCTAGCACAAGAGAGTCCCAGAAACTCACATTCATGTAAGAGTAATGGGCCTGTCCTATAGGGTCGCTAGGAGGAAAAATCTCTTCAATGGCAATGAGTTTGGTTTGGGGCCAAAACATCTTACCCCCAAGCCATACTCTCTTATCTCTGTAGAGAGACCTTTCCCAGGCTCTGCAAACAGTCTGCCTTGGGAACAGACGCACACATTCTCAAGCTCTGTTCCATGAAACACTGAGGAGGAAGTTTGGTTTGGGGTCAAACATAAATATATATATATATATTCCCTCCAATGACTCTAGTGCCAAATTCCAGTCAAAATTCCTTCCATCTGTAAAATGTCCTCTGACTGACTAAATCTTGCTGAAATCCTAGCATGTATTAAATCCCACATTTCTTTCTTTAGGTTGCAGTAAGCACATGTTCCACAATCTAGACTTCATTAATTCTCTAGAGAATATAGGAAGACATTGAATTTTTAAAGTGGGAAGTTTTAAAAAATATATGTCTTTTTTAAGTGAGGCTAAAAACAAAAGAATCCACACACCTATGACTGAGAAGAAGTAAGGGAACCAGATCATCCTGAGCGCATATTGTCCCAGCCAACCGGCCACTTGAAGTGTACATAGACCCAGAGACATTAAAAATAGTATGAATGGTTACACACAGAGAAATAGATGTTACCATTTGCAAAGTATTGATAGCAATGTCAGCAATTAATAGCATGAGCACCTTCCAGGTATTAGAAAGTCTGCAGCCTCTTAGCATGTTGAAGTGGTGGACCAAGAATCACTTGCCCATTGGAAGACGGGGTAAAACTGTTGCCTTCTAGTCTGACTCTCCCGTTTAAATATTTCCAGAAATACAGTTGTGCCATAATAATATGTATTTTTCTCTTTTAGGAAGGGCTGGCACATAATTAATACATACAGTGAATTTAATGAATTAAGAATTTGAATTCACAAATGCAAACACTGGCTGCGAGGAAGGGAAAAACAAGTGGACCATTTCAGTAAGCTGAAGGAAAGCTTTGATAAATGGACACGTTGCATAAATCCCGTCTTGGTCCCTGAACATCTATTGTATGTCAGTTGCGGTGTCTTAGCCACTGAACTTGGGAGAATTGGTTGCATTGAGTTCAGGGAACTGCAGGCTCTCAGGAATGCACCAGTTCTACTTCCCTGCCTTCCATTCGTTGCTGACGTTGTGATTGTAAAGCTAACTACAATAGCTTCTCACTGCTAAGCACTATTCTTAGTGATAAGAGGTGAGTCTTGAAATTCTCTACTTTCAAATGATTTAATAGGGGGAGAGGACTGTAACTTCACAAATTGCGTAGAAGAGAAATTACGTTGGAAGCCACAGAGAAGGATGAGTCGGTCAACCCTCTGTTTCAAGATTGGAAAACGCCCTTTTTTGGTCAAGGCACCATTTGAAAATCCTCTCCCTGATTGGATTGGCTTTTCTGCAATAAGAAAGCAAGATGGGCAAACGGGTATGAGGTAAAGTAAGGCCAATGACCCATCAACAGCCAATTAATATTTGATGGGTACCCACTATAGGTACAACGTTATCGTAGTCCCTGGGAGGATACACCCCAAGATCTTAAATTCCGGCTCCTTGCCCTCAGAGTGCTTTCAGTCTCTGCTGGGGAAGCACAGTATACTTACGTGGGAGTGAGGTAAGAGTTCCTCCAACGCTGGATGGAATTTGATCACGGAGAATGAGGTCAGGCCCTCCATGACTAACCCCAGAGCTGACAGCTGGGAAACATCAAGTGACTCCAAATGATACGAACTCACTCACTGCCATTGAGTTCACGCCGACTCATAGCAATCCTATAAGTCAGGGCAGAGCTGCCCCTATCCGTTCTCAAGACTGTAGTTCATTACAGGAGTAGAAAGCCCCATCTTCCTCGCGTGGCTGGTGGTTTCGAACTGCTGATCTTGCGGTTGCAGCCCAACATGTAACTGCTACGCCACCAGGGCTCTTTAAATGAGAAACGCCCTGGCAATCTGCTCAGGACAGATAACAGCCTAGAAAACCTAGGGGCCAGTTCTCTTATTGACTGTGGTCACAGGAGGCCACGTGGACTCAACAGCAACAGTGGGTAGTCGGGAAGCAAGAAAAGGGTTAAAGAAACACCAACAAGCTTCCCCAGTGGTGTCTCCTTTTGGTGACGGCTGATTCTCTCAGTGCCGGGTGGCAGAGGTGGCAGGAGCCAGGGCAGGCATCCACCTAGATTTAGAGAACCCTTTCTCCTGTTTGATCTGGCTTAAGTATAAGGATAATTAAGGTGAGTCCCCTCCCCACCACCACCACAGGACCAATAATGAGAGTGCTGATACCAGGAGGGTAAGGGGAAGGTGGGGGAGAAAGGGGAAACTGATCACAAGGATCTACATATAACTCCCCCACCCCTGGGGGATGGACAACAGAAAAGTGGGTGAAGGGAGACATCGGAAAGTGTAAGACATGAAAAAATAATAATCATTTATAAATTATCAAGGATTCATGAGGGACAGAGGGTGGGTGGAGGGAGAAAAATGAAGAGCTGATACCAAGGACTCAAGTAGAAAGCAAATGTTTTGAGAATGATGATGGCAACAAGTGTACAAATGTGCTTGACACAATGGATCAATACATGGATGGTGATAAGAGTTGTATGAGCCCCCAATAAAATGTAAGGCCATCTGAATTAGCCATACGACACAGAACCACAAACCTCCTCATATTCTAATTGCTAGCTATCAGGCATAGAACACTCTTAGGTCCATCCT